GTGAAGGGAGGAAAGATTGCTGTGCCAACAGTTGATATTTCACTTCCGGCAGGAAAAATTGAGGGTGATATCAATGTTGAAGGGCCATCTGGAAAAGGAAAGATTGAAGGGCCAAAAGTTAATATTGATAAAAAAGGTGGTGGACTCCACATGCCAACACTTGACATAAATCTACCTAAGTTTGACCTTGACTTCAGTCTCCCCTCTGGTCGGAAGGATAAAGGCCTCAAACTGGACACTGGTGTTTCAGGAGATTTGGAGATGCCTGGTCTCAAAGGAGATATTAATGCAGACAAGTTGAAAGTTAAGGGTACAGGCATAGAAACAGGTGGAGTAGAAGGTCCAGGTGGTTCCCTCAAACTCCCCACAGTCAAACTGCCAACATTCGACATCTCCGCTCCAAAGGTGGATCTCGACTTTGGCCTCAATAAACCTAAAGGTGATGATGTGGAAGTGGAGCTTCTGAAGGCAGAGGGAGGTAGGCCTTCTTCAGGGGGCAGCTTTGACCTACCTGATGTTTCCCTCAAAGTCCCTGGTTTCACTCTTCCCAGGTTTGGTGCAAAGACAAAGAGCGGTGATTTTGAGACATCAGGACCAAAAGGAGGTGTTTCCCTCAGTCCACCACGTGTGGAAGGAGAGATTAGAGCACCGTCAGTCGAGTTTGATGGAGATGGCAAAGTCAAGATGAAGAAACCTAAACTCAAAATGCCATCATTTGGATTATCGAAAAAGGATGCAGATGTATCCGTGTCTTGCCCTGATGTCGATGTGAAAGTGAGAAAGGGGAAAATTGATGTTCCAAAACCAGAAATCAATGTCGAGAGCCCAGATGACAAGTCAAAATACAAAGTGAAATTTCCCAAGTTTAAAATGTCATCACCAAAAGGTCAACTTCCAGAAGGAGATGTTAATGTTAAAGTGGAAGCAGATGCTGAAGGAAAAGGTGGCTTCCATGCACCTGGCGTCACACTCAAACTGCCAAAGTTCTCCATGCCAGGATTTGGCTCAAAAGAAAAAGATTTAGGAAAGCCAAGTGGAGACCTTGAAGCGAAGGCCAAAGTAAAGATGCCTTCTGTTGAACTATCACTACCAGCAGCTAAAACACCAGAGACTGAGGTTCTTCTCCCCAAAGCAGAAGTTGATGTTTCAGAGGCTGACATTAAAGGGTATGAGGGAAACCTTAAAATTCCCAAAATGCCAACAATTGACGTCTCCATCCCCAAAATAGACCTGGATATGTCCTTGCCAAAAGGAAAGTCCCCGAAGATTGAAGGACCAGAAGTGGGGTTAAAAGGGGGGGAAGGAAAATTTAAAATGCCTCAAATAACAATGCCCTCACTAGACATATCCCTTCCCAAAGGGAAGTCCGGAGAACTTCTTGGACCAGATGTGGAAATAGATGGAGAAGGAGGCAAATTTAAAATGCCTCATGTCAAACTGCCCACTGTTGATATAACCCTACCGAAAGTAAAAACTGGTAAAATCGATAAGCCAGATGTTGACGTAGAAGGAGAGGGGGGAAAATTCAGAATACCTGGTATCAAAATGCCAAACATTGACATATCTAAGGGAAAGACCGGGAAATTAGAGGGACCAGATGTTGAAATTGAAGGAGGAGGAAAGCTCAAAATGCCTCAAGTGAAGATGCCAGATGTTGATATCTCTCTGCCCAAAGGAAAGATTGAAGGACCAGAGGTGGAGATCACAGGGGAAGGTGACAAATTCAAGATGCCACATCTCAAAATGCCCTCTGTTGATATTTCACTGCCCAAAGGAAGGGTTGAGGGCCCAGATGTTGATGTAGAAGGAAGTACTGGGGGAAAATTCAAAATGCCTCACTGGAAAATGCCTGGTTTTGATGTCTCTCTGCCGAAAGGAAAGATTGAAAGTCCAGACATTGACATATCTCTGCCTAAAGGGAAAGTTGAAGGTCCAGAGGTGGAGATAGAAGGAGAAGGTGGAAAATTCAAGATGCCTCATCTCAGCATGCCTTCAGTTGATATAAAGCTACCCAAAGGGAAGTTTGAAGGTCCAGATGTTGAAGTAGAAGGAGATGCAGGGGGAAAATTCAAAATGCCTCACATGAAAATGCCAAACGTTGACATATCTCTACCAAAAGGGAAAGTCGAAGGTCCAGAAGTGGAGATCAAAGGAGAAAGTGGAAAATTCAAGATGCCACACATCAGTATGCCTTCAGTTGATATAAAGCTACCCAAAGGAAAGTTTGAAGGTCCAGATGTTGAAGTAGAAGGAGATGCAGGGGGAAAATTCAAAATGCCTCATATGAAAATGCCAAACATTGACATATCTCTACCTAAAGGGAAAGTCGAAGGTCCAGAAGTGGAGCTCAAAGGAGAAAGTGGAAAATTCAAGATGCCACACATCAGTATGCCTTCAGTTGATATAAAACTACCAAAAGGAAAAGTTGAAGGTCCGGACGTAGAGCTGGAAGGAGATGCAGGAGGAAAATTCAAAATGCCTCACATGAAAATGCCAAACATAGACATATCTCTGCCAAAAGGGAAACTAGAAGGTCCAGAAGTGGAGGTCAAAGGAGAAAGCGGAAAATTCAAGATGCCGCACATCAGTATGCCATCAGTTGATATAAAACTACCCAAAGGAAAAGCTGAGGGTCCAGATGTTGAACTAGAGGGAGATGCAGGAGGAAAATTCAAAATGCCTCACATGAAAATGCCAAAAATTGACATCTCACTTCCAAAAGGGAAAGTCGAAGGTCCTGATGTAGACATTAAAGGAGAAGGTGGTGAATTCAAGATGCCACACATCAGTATGCCTTCAGTTGATATAAAACTACCAAAAGGAAAAATTGAAGGTCCAGAGGTCGAAGTCGAAGGAGATACAGGAGGAAAATTCAAAATGCCTCATATGAAAATGCCAAACATTGACATCTCTGTGCCCAAAGGGAAAGTTGAAGGTCCAGAAGTGGAGTTAAAAGGAGAAGGTGGGAAATTCAAGATGCCGCACATCAGTATGCCTTCAGTTGACATTTCACTGCCCAAAGGGAAGATCGAAGGTCCAGATGTTGAACTAGAGGGAGATGCAGGAGGGAAATTCAAAATGCCTCACATGAAAATGCCAAATATTGACATCTCTCTACCTAAAGGGAAAGTTGAAGGTCCAGAGGTGGAGTTCAAAGGAGAAGGTGGGAAATTTAAGATGCCACACATCAGTATGCCTTCAGTTGATATAAAACTACCAAAAGGAAAAGTTGAAGGTCCAGAAGTGGAAGTAGAAGGAGATGCAGGAGGAAAGTACAAAATGCCTCATATGAAAATGCCAGATGTCGACATTTCTCTACCTAAAAGGAAAGTCGAAGGTCCAGAGGTGGAGTTTAAAGGAGAAGGTGGGAAATTCAAGATGCCACATCTCAAAATGCCCTCTGTTGATGTAAAACTACCAAAAGGAAAAATTGAATGTCCAGATGTTGAAATAGAAGGAGATGCAGGAGGAAAATTCAAAATGCCTCATATGAAAATGCCAGATGTTGACACATCTCTGCCTAAAGGGAAAGTCGAAGGTCCCGAAGTGGAGGTCAAAGGAGAAGGTGGGAAATTCAAGATGCCACACATCAGTATGCCTTCAGTTGATATAAAACTACCTAAAGGAAAAGTTGAAGGTCCAGATGTTGAGTTGGAAGGAGGTGCAGGAGGAAAATTCAAAATGCCTCACATGAAAATGCCAGATGTTGATATTTCGCTTCCTAAAGGGAAAGTCGAAGGTCCCGAGGTTGAAATCAAAGGAGAAGGTGGGAAATTCAAGATGCCACACATTAGTATGCCTTCAGTTGATATAAAACTACCAAAAGGAAAAATTGAAGGTCCAGATGTAGAAGTAGAAGGAGATGTAGGAGGAAAATACAAAATGCCTCAAATGAAAATGCCAAATGTTGACATTTCTCTGCCTAAAGGAAAACCTTCAGTCGAAGGTCCAGAAGTGGACATTAAGGGAGATGGTGGACAGTTCAAGATGCCGAATGTGGGCATTTCTATCCCCAAAGGAAAAGCAAATGTTGATGCAGCAGGAGAGAAATTGGAGGCAGACGGAGGAGGTATCAAAATGCCACATATCAAGATGCCAAAAGTAGATATTTCACTTCCTAAAGGTAAAAGTAAAGACATTGAAGCTCCTGTACTAGAGATGGAAGTCACAGGTCCAGAGGTTAAACTTCCAAAGACTAAATCAGCCGACGCACAGATCAACTTGCCAACGATTAAGGCTGAAGGGGAATTCAAAGTCACATCACCAGATCTGGACACAGGGGCTCACGGAGAAGCTGATTTGCATGTTGAGGGAGAGCACAAAGGCATGAAACTCAAGATGCCAACAATAGATATCAAAGGTCCGAAAGGTGACCTCGAGCTCGATATCGGGCTTCACCGAGGAGAGGGCAAGAAGGATAGAAAAAAAGTCGAGCTCCCCGACTTGGACCTCAACACATCAGGAACTGGCGGCAAAGTAAAGGGGCCTAAAGTCAAAGGAACGAAATTCAAGATCGGAATGCCCAAAAAGAAAGTCAGTGGAAATGTAGTGGCAGACGTTGAAGCTGGAACCCACAACGGACATAAAGATCGTGTCAACATCCCAATGCCGGAGGTGACGTCACCAAGTGTCAGTCTGAAAACAGGAACAGGAGGAGAAGGTGCAGAAATCAAAGTCCCCAGGATACCAGACATAGACTTTGATATCGGTACATCACCAGATGAGGATGACAACAAAACGGAACAAGGCAAGAAAATCAAAATCCCAAAGTTTGGTGTCCCGTTACCTTCCATCTCCTCTCCTGAGAGACAGATGAATATCTATGGGCAAGAAATCGAGTATGAGGGCCCTAAAATGCCCAAAGTAAAGAAAGCTGTTTTTGTTTTGGTGAATCCTCCTACAGCAGATGAACCTTCTCCAAGCACAGGCCTCCTAAAAGAGGAGGCAACAGCTGAAGCTGAGACGGAGGACATCAAAGTGAAGATGCCCAAGATCAAAATGAAGCCAAGTTTTGGGAAGTCCAAGGATAAATCTGCTGCAGAAAAAGGAGGTGAGGAAGAAGAGAAGTCAAAGGGAGGGAAGGTGAAACTGCCAAAAGTGTCATTTTCTTCTGGCAAATCAGGATCGCTTGATGTCGCTCTCAAGGGAGAAGGTTCAAGTTCGAGTCTCAACGGTGAAAAAGACACTCACAAGGGCTCCAAGGACGACAAAGGGACATTTGGCGGTAAACTCAAACTTCCGAAGGTGGAGTTCACTAGTCCATACGGCAAGATGGCTGCAGGGGAGGAGAGCCCAGATCCTTCACCAGGAGAAACCAGGGGAGACGCTAAAGTAAAACAAAGCAAGATGGCCTTTGCGGGTTTCGCTGAGGAGTCTTCGAAGGAGGTAGTGTCATCTCATGCCAGAACAGAAATGCTGGACAGGGACAGCTCAGAGTCGCCTCCCGGTTTCCTGGAGTTCAGCTCGGCGAAAGTCCAGGCGTGGACTGAGATGGAGAGCAGAAGCCGGGAGTCTGAAGGAAGAGAGTCTTCGTCCTGGTTCAAAGTCCCGAAGATGACTCTGAAGCCGCACTCCACAGGTAAGAATACAGGAACCTTCAAATTATCACAATGTGTGCGACACTATGCATAATTTATCCCCGCTATTGCCTTTGGAGTTTGTTTTTGCTCTGTGAATTATTAATCTACCATCTCCTGTTTTGTCTCTGCTGCACAAAGACTAAGTTTCCTTCTTGATCTCGTCACCTATCCTCCTCTCCTTTCCTTGTTTCCTTTGCTGTCCCTTCTGTAGGTTTCCTCCAGATAACCCCAGAGGGTTCTCCGCAGGCCCAGCGAAAGGGCGAGGTGGGCGGCGAGGTCGACGTCTCGGGATCTTTCTGCCTCCACACCTCGGCGCTCGACTTCAGCACCGAGCAAATGTCCGAAGAGAGCCACGTCTCCTCCACCGAGGAGGGAACTGTCACCACGGTGACCAAGACCACCAGAATCACCCGGCAGCTGGTCACCACGGAGCAGCGAACGGGCGAATCTTCGACCACGACGACCACGACCCGCCAGGTGACGGACTTCGACTACTGAGGATGCTGTAACGATATCTTAAATGTTTAGTTTCTTTGTTGTTGTTGTTGTTGTTGTTGTTGTTGTTTTTGGTGAGGTTGCAGTGTTCTCGTAAGCTACGCCTGCAACATGGCAAACCTCTATTGAAGTAGCCCTAAAAGTCTTTATTTTATATTTTATTAGGTGAGGTATGAATGTGATGAAATGACTTTTCATCAACCAGCATTATTGTCATTATTACAGCAACAGAGTAATATATACTACCTTTTATTTTCATTTTACATGTGACTATTTCTTTTTTTTTTCTTTTTTGTTACCGTTCTTTGAGTTTTGTTAGTTTAGTTTTAATTATTTATCCGATTGTGTTTGGGTTTTAAAGGTTTCCCTCTGAATGTAAACGCGTCATATTGCTTCACTATTTATTGTTGTCGGTGCGTTCAGGATGAATAACTCACATCAGCATCATGGATTAGACCGTGATTTTGTGATTAGTTGGAAATGATGAACCACTTCAGCACAGGCCAGAGTAATATTTATGTAAATACAACTATATAATTGCTTTTTTGAAGCTGAATCCCTTCAATCCAAAATGTAATTATTTTCCTATTCACCGGTCGGGAGTAGAAATGGTATTTTTTTGACCTGATAACCTATTTTGTTTGTCTTGAAGGAAAAGTGTGAGCTTTTTGAGATTATAGGATATTCTCATTTTCTGCCATAGATGCCTATTTAGCTGGTGCTGTTTCCCAGAGATAGTCACAGTGAGTGAGCAGGACGACGCTCTGGGCTCTTTTTCTGCTGTGGGGATCAAACCTGCGACCTTCCGGTTTTACAGGTTTACTCTCGAAAACATTTAGGCCAACCTGCTGCTAATCCATTTTATATATTTATGTTTTTACTGTACACTGCCAGAGAAGGACACCACTGTATATTTTGTGACAGCTTTAAGATACACCAGACGCTCAGCTGTAAACCGGGCTGAGCTTCAGCGAGCTGGGAGGAAATGTGGGGATTTATGGACGCTGTTGGGCGCTTTAACCAAATAAATTGCAGGAGTTTTGCGGGTGAAGCTGTAAATCTTGCTCTACCAAATTATATCTCTGTAAGACAAAGAGATCAGCCACGGAGGGGCGAGCCTTGATCGGAGGAGGATCATAAACAAGATGTTTTCTTGTAGTTAAAATGAATTTGTTCTGTTTGATATTTTACATATTTCTAAAGTTATATGAAATAACCATCAGAGTAGCAAAGGCGTTCACCCCTTTATCTCCACCTCTATTTATTTATCTCTACATTGAGGCAGTTTTTATGGCATTAAATCTAAACTTACCTCCTCAGAGTTTTGCAGGATTTTTCAGTTGGATGTAAAACATTTCAGATTGAACACTTTTGATTTAACTCGGTTGATAAGATGCACGGAGAAAGTCCTGACGAATCCACTCCCAGACCGGTTTCACCAACACGTCGACACACTGAGCAGCGTCTACGTGTACGCAGATCTTTACCTTCCTGGTTTAAACGAAGTCTTTACTTTAGATCCTGAGAGTTTTTAGTGCCAAAGTGTTTTGTCGGAGCTGCATTGGAGAGAATGTTGGTTAAGTTGTTCCATCAATAAAACAATATTCACATAAAAAAAAAAAAAAAAACATGTTAAAAAGTTTCGTGGTGTTTTGTTCTGACCTGAATTAGTTATAAAAAGCTGAGAGCTTCTGGGTTTTTCGGCGCGTTCACTTAAAATTTATCAGCCCGATTCATCTATTCTTTATCTTTACACTCTTGTCCTTCGCAGGGTCAGAGAGAAATGGAGTCGATAGAAATGCACACTGATGCAAAGTACATCCAGCTACTGCAACACTACACGACTGCAATCTCATCACTATGAATCAGAATCTAGATTATCTATCATGTGCCATAAGCTTAAGTCAAACTAAAATTCATAATACACTTTCTAAATATCAGAATTTTCCTATTTTTGACTCAACATCTCCAATTTTCTTAATTTTTTAACACTATTTATTCATCTATTTGAATATTTTGCCTCATTTTATACTACTATTAATGTTTTAATTTTTTAATTTTTGGACTTTTAGATCTTCACATCCACCATGCAAATCAAACATCTTCTTCATCATTACATGAGACCTCCGAAGGCACAAACAGATTTCACGTTTGCACAGAGAAGTTTATCTGCATTAAAGAAGAAAGTCATCTGGCTGCTCTCATGCTTCACTTTGCAGCCATATGTTAGTTTGAAGCGCTGACTGAACGAGTGAACACTGCAGCTCCCGTGGTGTGCGCTAATATATATTTATCTTTCATTTCTCCTTATTCATTCTGAGGCAGCTGCTTTAAACATGTAACATGGCTTCTCTGTTTTTCTTTTTAATGCATGTGCCCCGAGCACAAAGAGACAGCAAGTTATGTTTTTAACATCAGTGCAGCTTCATCATCTCAGTTTCTGGGATTAAACGCTGATATTCTGCTTCGGTTTGCATAAAAAGCAGCATAAGGCCTGATCACATTGGAAACACTGCAGGGCCGCTCACTGTTATGTCACAATCTTCACTCCAAAAAAAACAGAACAGTACTGTAGGCATCCACAGTGGAGCAAAAAGCACAGTCACTGCAACATATTTTGAGGAAAACATTGTTCTCAGCCTGAACCATCACCAAGAAACAGAAGAGGCAGAACAAACAGTCACAAGACGCACCATCAGATGAATGAGGCCCTTTGAAAGCCGTGTGGAGAGGAGGACTTTGGAGGAGAGAGTGGTAAACTGTGCACATGGGTGCATGACGTCTTTCCATTGTGTGTGTGTGTGTGTGTGTGTGTTCCAGTCTACTCATCTGCTGCTGTGATGATGCTGTGAAACGTAGGCTCCAGGGTGAGCGTATGTGAGGGCAGATTAATGCGCTATGAGGAGCGATCAGTGCCGCCCAGGGAGAGACTGCAGCGTCACCAGCTGCATTTACTGCTTCCAGCCGATTTACATCCTTCACATCACACCTCACCTGCTTCACCGGAATCTCACGCAGAACGAATAAACAGTTTGGTGTGTGTTAAATCAAGTTGTGATGCAGCCGTTGTATGTTTTGCTGCAGCCTCGGATTAACTAGAAAAGCAGCCGTTTGTCCAAAGTCCTGCTGCTGGATCTGGACACTAATTTATGACAACTACGTTTCTACTCAACCTGTCTTTGTCATTTGTTTTGGTCGCTCCAGCCAATCATATATTAGACGGGGAGGAATCCTGCTAACCAAGAAAATGGAGGACAGACATCAAGTAAAGGAGTCGTATTTCAACCAAACCAACTAATTGTGGTACCTAAACCTAACAATATCAATATATCTTTTATCATTTTATCTTTTATTGAATTTCCCTTCTGGGATAAAAAAAAAAGTATTTTTCATTTCATTCATTCATCAGCAAATGTGAAAGAAAAGTTAAAATCATACATTTATAAAGGCAAAAAAATAGATAACTGTACATGTATATGTTTTTATTATTCTTACTATTATTTTAAATTAGAATAGCTTTAACAATATTAGAAAACAAATGCACAAACATATACATATCACACTGGACTAAGTTAGTTAATGGATCCAAAAATGTCAGGACCAACTTACAGCACCAGGACCAACATTAATAGATTAGACTAGCTAAAAAAATCTATATTTGACGAAATACTAATCGTAATTAATAAATATATAACATTAAAAAAATGTAGCTCGAAGATGTAAGAAAACCTTTACTGGCCCTTTGGCTTGTTGTCATGGCAACCGGTCCAGGTACAGGCTGCGTGCATGTTGGCTAACTTGCTAACTGAGCACAAAACGACGCAGCAGTTTGCAAAACACACACAGCAACCACTGCTGTCAAAGTGTGAAATTAGCACAGCTGACATCAAAGCCGCGACGCTGACACCTGCTGGAACGTTACTGGAGACCACTGATGACATCAGCAACGGGTAAAAATGTCTCTAACTCCATAACGTGTAGAAAACTACTTTATTTTTTAACATGTAATCTGACTGTCACGCTGTCATTTTTTGTAGTTCTCGAACAGCCTCAGCTCCTATTTTTATTCATATCTGTAGTCATTTGTTTGGATGAGGAACAGTCACAGAGACAAGTTTTACATTTGGATGATAAATATTCTGTCTTCTGCACAATTAAAAAGATTTTTCATGTCTAGTATTCGATGTGAGTGGAAGTGATGCTGCATTTTTTGTGCACGACACTAAATAATAAAACCAAAAAGATGGTTTATTTTAATTCAGCTTTACGGAAAAACAATCCAGTAAACATCTGGTGGACTCTTTACGGTTCTTGAAGACAAATTGAGTGGCTGAAAGATGAAACGTCTTCAAGAACCAAAAGAGAAGCTCCTACAGCTACCACGACCCGGATGACGGAGAGTCTACTTGGACATTTTATGGAGAGGTGTGGGGTTATAAACATATATATTAATGTAGTCTTTAGCTTTTAATGACTCCTTTGTCTCTTAATTTTCATCTTTGTCACAAAAACCAATTATGCTTTTTGGTTCTCTCGTAGATTTATTATAAATCATCTGGAAATATGATCTGCTGGGTCAGAAACATACATATAATATTTGGTTTATCACCTCAACTCGTCACTTTGACATTTGACCTTTTGACCCAGCAGATGTCATCATATGTCCTGTATAAGTATATATTCAGCCATCCCATCATAGAAAACTGATTGAAGCACATTTTGGTTCTTTTATAAATTCATTATAGGCCTTATGTAGGAAATATGGCAAAAGGTCCAAAGTGCTTCATTGAGGTGAAACTGGTCGACTGTATGTAGATTTTTGAGCCAATAGATTTTATCATATTTCCTCTATAAGACCTTTAACAAATGTTTTAAAGAACCAAGATGCATGACTGTTTTTTGTGTCAAAGATGCATTTGTTTCAATCATTCCAACACAGAAAATTAAGAGTCACAGGAGTCACTGGAAACTCAGGACTGCCGTGATGTACGTGGTCATTATGGGTGGATGTACATTTTTGTTTGTGGCTGTTTATGGATCAGGAGATGGAGGTAAAGTTCTAGAAATTGTTGCAAAAGAAAAATGCAGGAGACAGAAGGAATAGCCTGTGTTTTCATCTGAATATTAGAACAGTCTCTGGAGAAATAATAATCCATAGATAATAACGGATCATCTGCATTTGATTTGTAATTCCAAACCATAAACAGAAACAAACATTTCTGGTGTCAAAAAATAAATAAATAAAAAAAAAAAAATCTAAGTTGTCTCATTTTCCATCTTTTCTTTGGAAACTCCTTCAGATTCTTTAAATATGTCTTAAATTTATATAGTTCCCAGACAGGATTATGTGACTTGAAGAGGCACTGAGCCTGGATTTGTGCCTCCGTGATTGTGGCACCAACAGCCCTCCATACATTTCCGCTGCGCTCACCTCTCCCTGCCTCTGTGTGGCACGAATCACGCCTTCTATCAGTGAGTGGGCTGCAAGTCAAATTAGCTCTCCGTCATCCTGCTCGCTGTGCACACCGGAGGCTACTGCGGTAAGATGCGACGACGCACGATGCCGAGCCGCGGCGGATGAGGCGATGCGCAGTGGCCGAGCGAGTGGACGAGGGAGCGAGCGAACAAAAGATCCGGTTCTGCTGCTGCTGCTGCCGCCGCGGCGGCTCTGATTTGAGACGATGGGACAGGACGGATGCGGGTTTGACTGATTTGTAGCGTCAGTGGTGCAGGCCGATGTGGAGAGATGTGGCTGATCCCACTTTAGGATGCTCCGGAGCCCGAGGAGCACAAAAAAAAAGGCTTCGTGCGTAAAACAGAAATCGTCAAGTGAAAGGACAGTGGATCCGGAACACCGAGGCTTCTGGAGAGGTGAGAAACAATAACCGCCTGCCTTCTGGCGTCCCTTCCAGGACGTGTTGGCTGGGGATACTGGTTTTGCTGGTACATTGTGGTTCTTCTCCATCACAGTCCTGCTGATAGGCTCAGTGTGATATAACCTGTTCTGTCGCTTGTGTGGGTAAATCCTTAAAGCTGTGGAGGCTCGTTTTTTTTAAATCATTTGTGGCCACCTGGGTTTCATTTTTAATTTTTTTTTAGTGTATTTGATGATTCTGTGTGGCTGATGCAACGACTAATCTAACTGGCACCACTATGCACATGCTGTGAACGCACGTTTTTATATGAAAATCAGGCCTGTTTGGGTGGGAGGAGTATTAAGAGAAGCCACTTGGATTCGGGTGACCTTTGACAGACTCACACCTCCACAAGCAGCAGCTGTAGTGGAGCAAAAATCCCTTCTCTTTGTTAGATCACATTATGAACATGTTTTCATTATGTAAGTCTTGTATTTGGAGTCTGGAGGCAGGACTGTGTCTCCTCTTTGGTGTGATTCTGGCGTTTTCAGCCTCACAGATCAGTCTGCTGTGTCTTCATGTGCACACGTCGCTCCTCTCCCTCTCCACGATGAGTCCTTCACTTCCCTGTTTTGTCCCGTTCCCCTGCAGGTTGTTCTCTGACAGCTGAGTCAGTCTTTAGCGACGAGAGGCTCCGAAGACGTCGTCGCTGAGCGTCGGCCTGGAAGAGAAACAAACTTCTCATTACCTTCCTTCTCGTCAGCGCTGACAGCCGGACATCTGACCTGCGTGTTCCTCCTCCTCCTCCTCCTCCTCCTCCTCCTCGTCAGGAGACTCTCAGAGCTGAAGAGCGATAAAGAGAAGCGAACCCGGTCGGCTGTCAGGGAAAAACAAAAAGGATTCTGTTTTTCAGTCGTCACAATAAACTGTTAAGATATGAGATTAGCCAGAGAGTCGGCGCTCTCAGATATCTGTTCCCCGGCACCGCTGTCAGAATTAATCAGAGGAGAGAAATTCTTGAGAGTGTTTCGGCTGTTTCACGATGCCCAGTGTATTTTTAAAAAACTGTGATCTCTTTACGTTTGAGCTGTCAGGCTCTGAATCAAGAATAGACTCCTGATGGTGGCAGCGTTCCCTCTCGCAAATGAGAATTGGGCTCCACCTGACAGGCTGCGCTTTTAACAAAGGATAAGCGAGGACAAACCAATAAAACATAAATGAGGCCAACAACAGGCACCATGCTCCAGCAGAACAACAACAACAACTACCCCTGTCTCAACGTGTCGGGCTCCACCCGGGACATGCTCCAGAAGTGCTCCAGGGCCTCGCTGCCCTTCCCCAGCCGCCTGGAGCTGGGCCTGGGGGACCTGCCGCTGATCCGGGGCCTCCGAGCCTGGGCGCTGTGCTCCAAGAACCGCCACAAGGCCGGCGGTCTGCTGGGAGGAGGGCAAGCCCCGACGGCGCCTCCCCCGGGCCGCGGGACGTCCTGCCCCCGGCCTGCAGACGTCTACCTGAGCGGGGAGTGGGGTCGCATGGGCTACGGGATCCCCCTGGGGCTGGACGCCCGGCAGGCCGGGATCGGAGCCCTGGTGACGGTCGCCACCCTGAAGACCTCAGAGGGCAGCGGGAAGACGCAGACCCAGTGCCTCTTCCTCCGGACCGAGAAGGGGAGCTGTCTGTACTCGACGGCTAAGCCCGGCTCTGGAGGGACGGCCGGCGTGGTCGGCGGCTGGCTGAGAGGGAAGACGGGAGGAGGAGGCAGAGACGGCGGGCCGCCGGCGCAGACCGGAGCAAACCGGGTTAGAGTGCGATCGGGCCGGAGGTGGAGGAAGTCCGGCAGCGCAGAGAAAACAGGCTCGAGCAGAGAGAGGCAGCAGAGGAGCAGCTGGGAGGATCCGGCCGCTGAAGAAAGGCAGGAAGAGCGAGACAAAGGAGGCCCAGACAGTAAACAGTCCTCCAGCCCACAGCAGCACTGCAGGGGAGGCCGGTGCTGCCACAGCGCCTCTCCTAAAGCCTGCACTCAGTGTGGACCAGGGCCACAACGGAGGGAGAGCCAGGATGAAGCAGAAGGAGGAGAAAGTCCCTCAAACAGACAGGGAATGAGGAAGAATGAGGAAGAGGAGGAGGAGGAGGAAGGCCTCTGCAAGTCCTCTGACTGTGTTGTGGCCGAACTAAAGCCTGACCTAGAATCCACCGACTCCCACGGCAGCTGCCACGTCGGAGAAGCCGAGAGCGACGGAGGGCCGAAGAAGACGGAAACCTCCTGCGGCAAGGACGACTATTCAGAGAGAGACGAGGACGATGTTGTGAAATTACACGCCGGAAGCGGCGGTTTGGTCTCTGAGCCGGAGACCGAAGGCTTCGAATCGAAGGACGTTAACGACGGACGGCCAGGTGAGGACTCCAGCGAAGGAGCAGCAGCTGATGCAAATGGATTTTCTGATCAAGAAACGGAGAAAGAGGAAAACATCAGTGAATTCTCGGCTGCGTCCGGCTGCTGCCAAGATCCTCCTGCCTCCTTGACTAACCAGTCCTCCGACGCCACAGAGGGCAGCATCTGTGCCGCTGAACAGGAAACTTGTTGGGTTCAGACTGTTGGAGAAGCAGATGTTGGCGCCACGGATCCAAACTTTGACACTGTGAACGAAGACGCGCCGCCTCAGATCGCAGCTTCATCTCCTGCCGGCCTCGAGAACAGCAGCAGGACGGTTGAGCCGGAGGATCCAGAGGAGAGGCTGAACCCCGACGATGAAGGCGAGGAGGTGAGGAGGAGGAAGAGCGCCTCCGAGAAGCTGGACGAGGGTAATAATGAAGGAGTAAAGAGAGAATCTGATGAAGTCGAACCAGACGGAGAGACCGGCACCGACGGCACCGATCCCCCCGCCTCCGGTGCACTCCGGCTGGCTAATCCTGCCCCTTCTCTGCCCCCGCTGGGATCCATGGCAACTGGCCTGCCCTGTCTGGAGGCGGAGGAGGAGGAGGAGGAGGAGGAGGAGGTGGTGGTCAGAGCGGCGGCAGGAGACGAAGAAGGAAAGCTGGAGGAGAGGGGTTCCACCGTGGCCGCCGAGGAGGAGGAGGAGGAGGATGAGTTTGGCGTCTTCATGCAGGCGGAGGGGGAGTCGGCCTGGAGCGAGGGCTTCACCACGTCTGCGTCAGTGCCTTGTGGGAGCAGAGAGAGCGCTGGTGAGTCTCCTGGTTCCTCCTCCTCCTCTGTCTCTTTTGTTTTTTTCTATTTGCCAGGCTGCCGTTCCTCCCCACTATCTCTTATCCGCCTCCTTCGGGATCCTTAGCAAAGTTTGCTTTTCCGTTTGCCGCAGATTCTCTGACAGAGGATCTTTGGGCTTAAAGTCAACAGCTCTGACACTGAAAGAGGCTTCAGAGGCAGAGCGGAGTCTTTTAAAGATGTCAGAACCGCAGAAGTGGTTTAGAGACAATATCTGAAGTGCTGCAAAATATCAGCGCCCGTCCGTGTTGTCGCGCGGCGCCTGAGTGGCAGCGCCGGCTGCCTCCGAGCATTAGTGCATTTTTAACCTTTTGTACAGTTTCAGGAATGCAGGTGCACACGGTTTGTTTCAAAGAGCCACTTCAGGTTTGCTTTAGATCACATTTAATAATCAGGAAGTCCTGCTGTTCT